TGCCTCAAACTGAATCTACCACTTAAAATATTGAAGATTTTTGTACACTGTCAGGTATGAAATCATGCAGATTTTTAAGTCTAAATTTGAAAATTAAAACAAGCATTAATTTTTAGTAGTTAATTTGATCAGTGTTAAAGTGCTCAGTTAGTCCATAGGTGCAGGAGGGAAGGGATAAACATATTTGTTGAAGCATACCCTTGAGCACAACAATAAAATACATTTACTTCAGYCAGTTTCTCTATTGACTTCTTGTGTTTCCCAAATAGGGATGAATTACAATTTTAGCTCCTTGATCTTCTGAAGTGATTAAAGTCATTATTCAAAGTTGATGATGAAGTATTTATGACTGCAAAGACACCCCGACAAATGAGATTTCCACTGCTTGATTTAGAAGCTGCAACACCATCTCCTATTTGACATTAAACCCAGGRGAATAAAAACAACCAGGTACCATCAGGGCACACATCAGCAAAAACTGTGAGCTTTGGATTTTTACCCTGAGTGACCAAAGTCAGAGCAGATTTTGTGTGAGTTTTGGTGAGAGGACCATTAAGTGCTCGTGAAGAAAGAGCCAATTTCAGCTGCTGACTTCCMTGGGAGTTGGATAAGGTCTTGATTTATTCTGGAGCTCGTGCAGATAAAGAGGCAACAAATCCAAAGACATCAGCAAAGACAAGCAGCTAAATCCCCAACACTTGGAATGGACAGCTCCTGAAAAATCATGGAGAGGGAAAGAAGGAAGAGCTTCCCAGCTGTGGCTGGATCAGGTTTCAGTGGTGAAAATCTGCACTGGAACAATAGGGGAATTAACACAGTGATTTTTCTTGTGTGAAATGAGCTCAGTAGGGTCATTTCAGCTGTGTCCAGGCTGTGCACTGCCCTGGGATGATGAATCTGCAGAGTTTGGTGCTTGTGCCACAGGGCACTGCTTGCCACAAAGAGGAATGTCTGAGGGGACAGGGGAGGTTTAGATAGGATATTGGGAAAATRTTCTTTATTGAAATTATTATCAAGYCTTGGCACAGGATGTCTGGGCAGTGGTGGAGTCACCATCCCCTGAGGGATATAAAAAATATGCAACCATGGCACTTGGAGACATGGGTTAGTGGTGGGCTTGGCAGTGCTGGGTTAATGGCTGCACTCAATGATCTTAAAGATATTTTTCAACCTTAAAAACCCTATGATTTCATTAAATATCTACACCACATTTCAACACCTGGTCACCATATGCCAAGTGACTTCTAATATTGAAGAGATTTTGCTTCTTAATAAAGACAAAATTTAAAACTCTCCATCTTTTCTTCACTACTGTTCCCACTACCTTGCACAGACTGCCCTATTCTGACTTCTTTTCTTACCTTCTGTTGCCTATTCTGATAAAATTTGTAASCTTGGCAATCACATCCCTCTCCCATAAAATAAGAATGAGGTTTAGTTCAAGCCTTTTTATATGATCAAAAGTAAAAAAAATCATGCAAAAACTGTATGTGTGGAAATGACTGGCAATTGCTGAACAGACTTGAAATTTTGTCAGCAGACTGCATTCCCCAGCATTTGCAGTGCCCAACTTAGGTACATTCAATCATCTGGGAAGCAGAGAACAAGGATTCCAGCTTCTGCTTCCCAAATATTTCTTTGTTTATTTAAGTACATTTAAGCTCCTTATTGGTTGTTTTGCTCCTGTGCAAGTTGCACACACTGGAAATTTGAGAAACWACAAAAGCCTCCAAACAGACCCTGAGACACACCTGAGAAAAAGATGGAGTGGCAGCAGTTTGATAAAACAGTAAAATATCAGCATTTTTAAATTAAACAGTAAAGATATTTTGAGAAGGAGAGGGAATAAAYGGAGTCAGGTAGAAGRAATTWTTGCATTTAACTCCCTCTTCATTACTGCATGTGAAACTTAATTACCTGACTGATATTCACACAGAAGACACGTTGTCATCGAAATGTAGAATCAGAGGATGGTTTGGGTTGGAAGAKAATTTAAAATCACTCTAATTCCAAACCCCCTGCCCTTCTCAGGRGCACCTTCCACTGTCCSAGGTTGCTCCAAGCCCCATCCAGCCTGGCCTTGGAGACTTCCAGGGATGAGGAAGCCACAGTTTCTCTGGAAAACCTGTATACGCATACTGTGTGTTACTGGTTGCATTAAGATCTTTTCCTTATGGCTGAGCTATCTGAATTTAGATATAATGTGGGGTGAAGAAGAAATGTAATAAAATAGTTACAAGTAGACCAGAAAATTCCTGTAATATAGAAAAGGAGAAATGAGAAAGGCAGAAGACAATCAACACAGTATTTATTCATTCCATTATTGTGATAGATGTTCCTGCATGCAAGACCAAAAGAAACCAACATCTTTTTTTATCTATTGTTCATTTCAGCCTGCCTGTCTCCTCTGATGAGATCTAGAAGTTATACTGTGCCATGCTGCAGAATCTTTTAATCTTCYCCTTTGTTAATTCCTCTGTGTTATTCTGCCACCGCTTCCTTTATGTCTGAATAAGGAGCCTTGTTTCTAACACTGTGACCCATGTCTCTAAGGTTAAAATTCTTTGGGTTTATCTCTGATTGAATGACTCACGTTGGAAAATTACTCACCTGTCCAGCAGTGTCTAGAATGTCCAAATAGGCTGGTTCATCATCAATTCGGACTTGAGTTTTATAGGCATCCTCTGAAAAACACAGTGCAGTTTTCTTAAACATATGAGTGGCTCAGAGAATGGAAAATTAAAKAGCTTTGCTGCTTTGGAGTAGGGTTTTCAAAAGCCCTCCAGTCTGACCTAACCTTGCTTTATTTCAAAAAAGTCCCTTTTTGAAATCCTATCACTACAACGAAAGAGAGTCCCTTCTATCATACTACCTCAAAATACAAAAATTAAATTCCCTTTATTTAAATGGGTAGCACAGACCCCAGGTGTTACTCAGGTCACAAAGATTCAGAGGTGTTGTGCTGGTGCTATGCAGCAGAGTGTTTTTTTACTTACCATAATGACACATTCAAAGAGTTTGTCTAGCAAATAGTCCCAGTTTAACGATTGTTAAATTATTGGGATAGACTTCCTGTAGCTGAACATGGGTCCTGGCTCAGGTATGTCAGAGCAATTATTTAAACTTCTGTATATCCCCAGAAAGGCTAAGAATAGACTTTTAAAATTCTATAATCTGTATCTTCACACTCATCATAGCTGCTTTGTGGACCCTTCCTTTAGCTCATGACTTTGTCAACTAAATTTAGAAGACGAAAAACAAAGAAAAGGCAAACTACTATTTGCATAAGCCGTTTTCTACACATTTCAATTTCATTCCCCTCTCAACATTTGTATTTTCTTCATAAGATTAAAAGGACCGTGGATACCGGCTCGTGTTTATACTTGAAATAGTCTTGGAAATTATCTGTGCTCTTTAATTGAACAATCATGCAGAGCAGCCTGAGTGGTTTTTGTGACTGGCATTGTGCTTTGGAAGGGCACTGAGGCGTGAAGACAAGAAAAGTGCATTTGTGGTGTCTGGGAAGTGTCGTTCACCATCGTGAGCTCATGGATGTGCCTGTCCTCAGAGCCAGCCCTGGCACAGACACTCAGAAACTCAATAACTGCTCCAATAATATTGAGATTTTAATAAGGGATTATATGGCAGGTAGTTGGAATTCAACTCAGGCCATTATATGTCTGTCGTATCATACAACACTTCATAAAAACATCTAAAAAACAGCTTTCTAGCTGTAGAAGTAAAAAATCTAAAACATTTAGTTTACAAGATTTAGATTAACATTTAGGTTACAAGACTAACAAGACACAAGATTCTGGACAGCCTTAACTCCATCCCTTCCTTTGCAGTCAGAGAATTGCTATCTTTTATGACATAACCACACACAGTACTTCCCTCTTTATTTTAGACCTCAATTCAGTAAACAATTAGGCACATGACTTTCTTTAAAAAAATACCTAATCCCACTGATATTAAGATGGCCTAGAGGCTTAATTAATTGTATGATATAYTACCTTGCTAAAAAAGCCAGAACACTCCAACCAGCATATGTTTCAGCTGATAAATCTTTTTATAGGGATTGCTGAATAAGAAACTCTGTGTCAAAGAGGGGCCATATAAAAGTAATTGGTCTAYTTGCAGTTTAAGTAATTTATTATTGCATGACAATGACATCTGCAGTAGATTTTTTATTTTTTATTTTTATTTTCATCTTTTTTTAATTAACTAAAAATTAAAAGTAAAAAAGGAAATTATGTAAAATCAAACATGGTATTTTCTTCAGATGAATTCCATTAACACTATCAAGTATTATTAATGTACTTCYATGCAGGTGGGTGCCCATTTGCATACATAATTAACATATGACTTCCATAAATTTATCTTGCATTCTTGGCTCCACACCTGGATTTTCTAAAGCCAGTTGTTCTGCTTCCCTTTTCACTTAAACCAATGTGAATCTTCATACAATATCTTTAAAACAGACAGAAATATTCCTACTTAAATTCTACTTGGATAAAAATGAAGCTACATAAATCCTATCTGTTCATGCCAAGGAAATGAATTACAAGTTCAGAGTTAGCTATAACTAAAAGACCCACTGGCCTCTGAATATAAGTCACAGSTTCCAGTTAGCAAATGTAAAATATCTACCCTGCTGAACATCTCCATGTGTGCCCTGATATAATGTCACCGTCACCAGTGAAGTTTCAAATGCTAAAATGTGGGGCCAGATTATGTTTATAATATTTTTACTTTGCAGACACAATGCTGAATGCACAAAGACATTTTGTCATTTTTAGTTTATTTCGCTCTCCCTAACTACTGACCTCAAAACATTTCACAAAGGAGTGTTAAAATCACCGTCCCATTTTGGTTCTTGAAATATGCTGATTTCTTCTGTTGCAGGTAGAGAAACATCTTCTGTTGTGCACTGACCAAGCATATGAATCTAAAAGGTTTTCTAGGAAAATGYTTTTCACTTTTAAGATTTGTTTTTTGTCCCAGGAAATGTAGAGATGAAAAAGGAAGGAGATATGGGTTTCCTTTACAAACTTCTCTCTCTGCATACACGCAAAAAGAGGATAGAACTCTAGATAATATAGAGAAGCCTAAAGATGTCCTCAGTTGGGGTAGGATAAGCTGGGGTGTTTTTAACATGCATCTGGATGGAAAATAGGTTTTTAAACCCCATTTAAGAACTCCTAAATTCCACAGCTACCTAGGAAACTACAATTTTGAGCCAACACCTCACACCAGAGAAGAAATCATTAGCTATCACCTATTTAATGCTCAAACACAGCGACTCTCATTTTGAGAAACACTACTTTTCCATTTACCTGTGGATTAACTAATCTCCAGGACCTTGCACTCCTTCCAGGGCAGTAGGTAGAAGCAAAATGCATAAACTGAAAGCCATGTTTCCTATATCATGCCATATAGACCAAGTGGAAGAGCTGTATTGCTTAGTTCTGCTCTACAATTTACACTTTTAAACTGGGATTTCATCTCAGAAAGCAATGTAAATAGAGGATTAGCTCAACTTTCCTGTCTATTGCATGGGCAAACATCTTTATTTTACTCAAATTATGAGGCAGAGGCATTAATCTGGAAAGAAACCACCTCCTAGACATCGAGAATTGGAGATATCTCTGTGTTGCACCCATAATTTTTTGTTCATTGGTAGGTATGAGGTTAAGCAGAAATCCTGGYATCTTGGCATATTTCCCAGAGGATTTCAGAAAGGACTTCTGTGAGGCTGGGACTTTTTTGGTCCAAGCAGCATGGTGCAATTTATGGTCATGGTAAAGAAAGAGAAATTCTGAGATGTTGCTGTAAAGAGCAGGAACATGCTGCACACACGGGGACAAAGAACAGAAAGGAAGATGTTCCACTGAAATCACATCTAAATGTATATAAAACAAAGCAGTCTTCATCAGGAACACTATTAAACTCACACTGTTATGTATTCCATTTAAAAATTACCCACATTATTACAAATGGCGTCTGGTGTATTTGCACTGCTCATCGTGTTTGAGTAYGCTACATTTTCTTTCACCTAATTAATTTATAATATGAATATAATGTTCCCTTTAAAGTTAATTTGGGGGCTGCTAAACCACGTGTATCTATACACCCTACAGCTCTAAGGAGTGATATTTACTAAAAGGGCAAACTCTAGCTGCTGTTTCCATAAAGCATTGAGACAACATACAAAATAGAGACAAGAATACTAATTAGACATCAGACAATAAATCAGACTATAACTACAGTTTGTTTATGTTAAGCTCAGAATTGGTTTTATTCTGTGAGGTTAATTGTAAAGTCTCAGCTTTTGGTTTGAGTAAAATTCAGCAGAARGGTAAGGTATATATGAAAAAAACTGTGTATGGAGTTTACTGATATTGTTGATTGTGTTTCAAAAACTGATTACAAGAATGGACATTTTTTAGGTACCAAAAGGAAAAATGAAACAAAACTCCTGGATATTTGCAATCTGAACAATGTGTATATATATATATATGGACTTTTCATTTAAAGAGAATTTTTTTTGCACATATAAAGTGGATTTTTTAGAATCTTATTTCCTACAGAGACTAAAAATAAAAATGAAAATAGATACAAAATTCTTCTCAGAGGACACTGTCATTTGGCTACTGACTGTTTACTGTTTTACAGAGTGGGACAAAACAAATAGAGATCCAACTGTTTCCTGAATGGCACCCTTTTTAATTTTAAATTCTTTCCCTCTTTACTGAATATCTAAATTAAAACAAGAAAAATATATTGAAAGATTTTTTTTTAACTTCTCTTTCTTGATAATTGATTACACTTTGTAGTATTATAAAAACAAAGAAAAAGATTTTTTTAAGCTGTATGTTATCTGGCTTTTTTTTCCTTTTTTTTTTTTTT